ATACACCTTTTCGAACGTGGACTATCTATTTGGCAATGTAGAGAAGAAGTTAGAATTGTCCATATAATCGTTGAAAAGATGTAGAATGTGTCTATAGAGCGAATGGGAAGTTACCTCGACCACCACCGTACCGTTCCAGGTTCTATCCCCGCTCCTCACGCCCTTCGATCATTCGGTATCTTAGCAGTGGGTGTAGCCGTTCTCATATCATACTAGGGGCCGTCTTCAGAAACGGAAGTACTCAACCGTGACGCGTCTACCATACCACACCAGAGTGGACGTCCCCAACCTCTAATATGATCTCCTTGTTTTCCTAGAAAGCCCCAAGGACGGCCTCCCAGGGCCCGCCATTCGAATCAATAGCAACTACGAAAGACTAGTAGAATCCTCGTCACGTACCAAAAAAATGCAGTTAGCGCGCGCCCAGATAAAAGAAAATTATTGGAAAATTGTTGGCGTTGAATCGGAGCTAGAGAACAAAATGCTAGTGATCGCCTTTCAGAGACACGATCCCTTGCACAGGGTGATGTGTGGTAGCATGGTGGGGACTCGTCTCAGCTGCATTTAGCTGTCTCCAATGGATCTATCTCACGATCATCGTCGAGGCAGCTACTCTCCGGAGATGCATGCTGGGTCTTTTAATGGATGTAAAATTGGGAGGCTCATAGCGGACCTACTTTGTATCTTACCATCTCGAGCTCTGGATACATCTTATACTCAGCTAGTAGAACTCCACTCTTTGTTATGACAAGCCAGTTCGACGGCATTCGTTCGTGTAACTCAACCTGTTACTCTTCGTTTAGAGGCCAGAGCTCTCAGCGGAGTACTCAGCATACTACGATTCGCCCGAGATGTGGTATGGAATGTCTTTATTATAGGCCTTACCGAGCCTATCATGCGGTCATATCGATCGGACAGCTGTACTGCCTGTCCTTCCCCTCGTCTTCACCCACGCTCCAACATAACGCAAGTCGTGAACCCATATGGAGGTAGTGTCTTCGCAAGGTCATAGTAGCAAAGTAGTTGTTCTTAAGGTACCGTCACATACGCTCCTTCCGAGTCGGGTGAGACAACAATAGTACCTCCATCTCACGTAATACCGCCGCTGGGGATCGAACCCTATACCTCACCAGGCCCTACTGTTAGGTTCAGAAGAAGCCTGTGTCCATGAAAATTCGGGTGGCCCTGCATTCCTCCCTCGTTGTTAATATAGCACTCACGTTAGCTAAAGCTGTTTGTCTAGTCGAAAGCGGTTCGCTCGCGGTGAGTAGTGGCTACCCTACCTCTCCTTTGCATGAATCTCATCTCCCCAGGATACTGTCAGGTCCTGGCCTCTCTAGTTGACTCGTTATTGGACTTACTTTCACAGCTTGTAGGAAAGGATGAGTACCACTGTGGGAAACAGAGAACAAGTTGGTGTGACGTAGGTGCTTTGGTGGACGGAACATAAGGCGAATCATTCGTATAACGAGACCTATCCCGCTGGGCAACGCCGACTGGAGCCGTTGGGAGTGGTAGTATTATTTTTGTGGCGCAGTGACGGAGCAGTGTGATATCGTGGTGATAGGTGATATGTGCTTGCTGGATGGGTATGGCTTCTATTGAGGTCATAAGGGAATCCTGCGGCGTATTAGCGGAGTATATCGGTAGGGTGATAGAAAGAGGAATTCACTGTGGCTATGAAGAGCAGCAGGTACGGACAAGGTTCCGCCACTGGAAATGACGCCTATGGTCGCGGGGATAATGATTGTGGCTATCGCCTCAAAAACTGCCTTGTAATACTAGATGTGGAAGAGGCGGGTTCGATTCTATGCAAAGGTATTTTTACTGTCGTAAAATAGGAGAGGAGGCGAACTCTGAGAACGTGAAGGCCTTAGCTCAGGACCATGTTAACGATGTAATGCTCGACTGAACTCATGGAAATTCTCAAGGAGTTGCTGCTCAGGTGTTCTCCAACACTGGTGCTGTACTAGCAGCTTGGGCAGCATACGAAAGTCCTAGGCTCTGGTGGGTAGACTCTACGTCCGCTGTAGGTTGAGAGGAAGGTGTGGTATGGAATTGGAATATTGGTAGATACTTATATCACTGTATATTATTGGGTCCTGGATAGAAACGGGTAAGGAACAAGCTGCGATGATCGCTGGTAATGGTAGTAGGCTCAGCAGTAGAGAGCACATGTATTGGTATTAGGTCGCTCTGCTGATCCGGAGTTCCTAGCCAACATAAGGGATATTGCGAATCAGTATCATCCTGAGCTGTAGGGCTATGAGGAGCTCTGTAGTGGAGGAGTTGGGAATTGTTTTAGATATGCGGATATCATACGAGCCTATCACTTCGGTCCGAATTTCCTGGTTGAACTTGAGATGGTATTACCGGAGACGTACCAGCTGAGAGAAAGCCATGATATAGGTAGTATTTGATGGAGATTTATGAGGAGGTGTTGATTCTATTTAGGCATGGGCCTACAGCATAAAATCGAGGACCTTGATCGAGTGGAGCGAGCGTTTGTGCATATAGACTACCAGGAACGCCCTTACGATGAACACGATGAGAATTCATGGCCGAATGAGTGGGTTGATAAAGGAATCGATGATGACTGTGTTATTATGGAGGCATTGGTAGGTACTATGAGAAAGTTAGAGGATCCCCACGGCAGAAGTCGGCTAAATGCCGCACTGTGAAGGAGGGCGAGGCTCATGCTTCTGGTGCTAGTGGTGGTGTTTTCGAAACACTGGCTCGTCGACTATAGTTCTTATCGTGTTATCACCACCATCGTCATCACTGATACTATAACTACTGCAGCTCAATGCACGTCGTTGCTTTTTGCTGGTCTTAACATTCTTCTTCTGCCCCCCCCCCCCTCCCTAGGGCGTCTGTACTCCTCGGCGTGCTTGTAGTTAGGGAACCCGCATCTGAACGTAGTAGTACAGATCTACTGAGAAAGGTTTCGGATAGCGACTATATAGCACTTGTTGGGTTGGAAGGCTTTCGATTCTTGATCTTGAGCATAAAATTCGTCAAACAGCGGTTGTTCATTGCATTATGTGTGGCTTGACATTTATAGCATGTATCCACGGAAATGTGGGATGGGGGAAGGATGGACACACTCGAGCGAGAGTGTCAGTTTTACCTTTTTGAGTCGTCCAATGGAGGCAGATATTGAAGAGCCGGAAAGCAGCACTATAGTGGATTCCGATCGAAGGGATCTGGCTGAGGACCCTCTAGCGCGGGCAGTGGCAGCAGCAGCTTCGGCGTCGTTGTAAGGAGTTGCATTCGAATCACTGCTCTACTCGAATGATAATGCTATCTAGGGTGATGCATATATCATCGGGCGCGCGCTTTTTTTCGCACGTTTTGTATGTTTGAAAACATATATAGCATCAGTATGATATATATAGGTAATTTTTTATATAGTGAAGTCCACAGAATCGAATGATATCGGTTTTGGAAGCGTTGAAAATATTGAGACCATCGCAGAATGGTATTGGAATTTTGGTAGGTACAGCGCCTCTGGCATGCCTCATCGATGTTTGGATTTCGTACGAGTGTGAGTATTGAGGATAAGTGCTTGTTGGTGTTGTAGTAGTTGAAATGTGCAGGAAAGTAGCGGCATTGACGAAGGAGAAGGACGAGCTGTTGGGTAGAGTGGAGGAGCTGGAGAGCACTCTGAGGATAGTACAAACTGGTAACACTAGGCTCTGGAGCAGTGTTGGAATATACGTGCGCTTTCATCAGCTGAGCTCAGGAATAGGAATTCGGGTAGAAGTGTACAGAAAGCAAGCATGATTCATCAAAATTCCCTAGGAATTTTCAGGTTATCACCAACACATGTAGTTGACCATATGCGTAGTTTTTCACACTGGTTTCGAGGGAAAAGAAGGGAAAAATTACGGATTATTGCACATGCTTTTCCTGAGTATATGTACTATGCCGTTTCGGATGGTGAATGCCTTGAGAGCTCAAGTGACGTAGTTGTGGTGAACGAAATCAGCGAGATGACTGAAAACGCTCTTTCCGTGTTACTGATTTTGTAGCTTGTGATGTCATTCGGGATGGTATTGGTCGTTCTATGCGATAAGTAGACTGAGAGGTATTGGTTTTAGCGCAAAACTGGGCAATAGAAGCAGCAACGAGTGAGGAGGGTGGTAGGTCCTGGGTTCGATTCCAGGCTCGGGCATTTTTCGAAGGGTAGGTTGGACAGTGGAACAGGCGCGGAAAATGAAGGAAGTTACGGTATTGTTAATGCAAGCTAAGCAAGCTAGGGAGGAAGCTCTCAACACCATCTCGGGCAAGGTA